CAGAACTCCCATTGACTGATTTACTCCCTAAACAGGTGCAATGGTTGAAACTAGGCCTTTCTGAAGTCAGGTGTCAGAAACTTCTTCCAAGTCACCCCTTGGCTGCAAAGACCCAAGCACTTGGGCCATCTTCTGCTGCTTTCCCAAGTGCATGAGCAGGTTGCTGAACTGGAAGCACAGCAGCTGGGAAATGAATTAGCCCTCTTTTATAAGATGCTGGTGTCAGAGGTGTTGGCTTAAATCTCTGCACCATGAAACTGGTCTTTGGTCATTTTTTTTTTCTGTTTGTATACTTCATGTTTTTTGCTTGAGGATTTTAACTCATTGATATTCAAGGTATTTATTGATAAGTAAGTGCCTCCTACTGTGATTTTTGACACTTGTTTTGTGTTTTTAAGTAGTTCCTTCATTTCTTCCTTCATTTCTCACAATATTCATTTGTCATTCAATGTTCTCTAATGTTTAATGATGATTACTTCCTTTTTATTTATTTATTTATTTTGATAAGTCTATTATAGAGTTTTGCTTTGCGGCTATCAAGAGGCTTCCAACATTTTCACTTGTTTATAACAAACGATTTTGGAGCTATGACAGCTTAACATTGATTATAAGGTCAGGAAAAATGAGAAACAAGAAACATAAGAAATACAAATGAAGAAGTCCATATTTGTGCTCCAGTCCTGTCCATGTACTGAAATTTTTAGTTACACTTTACCTCTTTCTATGTCAACTGTCTTTTCACATTTTAATGTAATTATAACTTCTTGTTAGTTTTCACAGTATCATTGATCTAAGCTATAAGTGTCTTTTACACTATCTTTGCAGTATTAGAACATTCTGCATTTGTCCATACAGTTACTCCCACTAGAGAGAGTTTATTTTTGTTGTTGTTTTTGTTTTAATCTTCTGATACTTTCTTCTTATTGGTTACTGTCTCTTTCAGCTTGCCAAATGAGTTGGTATTTCACATAAGACAGGTTTGGTGGTGATAAATCTTCTCAGCGTTTGTTCATCTGGGAACATCTTTACCTTTTCCTCATATCCACGGGGTAGCTGTGCTGTGTACACTATTCTTGATCAGCAAATTTTCCCTTCAGTACTGTAAGTCTCCATCTACTCCCTCTTACATTCAGGGTTTCTGTTAGAAGTCTACAGTCAGGTGAATTGGCACTTCTCTATGTGTTACTTGCTCTTTTTTCTCATATATTTTGAAAGGCTCAACAACTTTGATGTTGAGATCACAACTATAATATGACACAGGGTAGACTTGCAACTAGTGAGCATTATGCTCAGTGAAACAAACCAATGAAATATATCATATGCTCTTTCTGATGTAAGAGATATGAGATCATGTTAAATATAAGATCAATAGGTAAGTATATAAATCTAGAGGTACTGTAAAATGGAGACTAGTATATCAGGAAGTAAAGATACATTGCAGCATGCATCTCTACTCCAGAATCAAAGATGGACTCCCAATGAAACTGTTAAATATATCGTGACAATAGGATGCTGTTTATTTTTTTTTTTGTTTTACCAGTGTCTATAACTACAATGCCATAATGCACTTAAATAATAGAATGATGGACTTGTGACAGTTGCTGCAGGCCTATACTACTGTATTAATATAGGGGGAAAGTGTGTGGGGAAGGAAATGGGGAAGGTGGAAGGGGAAATCCTGAGCTCTTTAATTATATCATGAAAATCAAAAATCAAAACAATATATAATAAATATAAATAAATATGATAGATATATATACTTAATCTGTGCCCAGACACAGCTTTCATGTAGTTCAGCAGGAGTCAGGACTTAATCTGGCCGGTTCTACACCTAACTTGGCTCTCACGAATACCAGTGGGAGCTGGAGTCAAGCCCAATCTGTCCCTTCACCGTCCCAGTGCATACCCGCGCTGGTTCTGTCTGTAGCCATATACAGCCACACCTGCTGCCCTCAATCCTACTCTCATTCTCATTAGTGGGAACCCCAACCCAGCTGGGCGCCCCTTTAGTTTTCCAGTAAGGCCTGACCCCATCCATAGTTCTGGGGTGAGCCAGCAGAGAATGCAGCTCCACAGGGATGAGCCCACATTGCCCCCCCCCCACCAGATTCTGCTATCAGACCCACATCTCTCACTCTTATTTTCCCCTCCAAACCAATTTGGTGTCAGTCCCCTACTTACAAACCAGAATCCAAGTATCACTGGGCTGCAACACCCAACAACAAGAACCAGAATGGGTGTGTCTGCTTGAGCAAGGCCACTATTCTTGCCAGAACAGGAGGTGGACAAAGTCAGCCTGGGCCAACAACCCACTGGTATGTGCTAGAACTGCCACTATGAAGAGTCTCGATGGAGGAGCTTGGGTAATTCCTTCATTGGGACGCAGTTCCCGTAGGTGAGGACAAGAAGCAAGGCAAGGAGCAGCCCAGACCATGCCAGGTTACAGTACCCACCATCATACATGTGGGTCAGTTCTGGGGAGGGACCAGTCTGGGTCAGCATATAACACCCACTGGCAGACCTGAGAACCAGGGCGGGGGCAGGACGAGTCAGATTGGGCCACAATACCAGCCAGTTCACAGTAGGAGCAGGACAGCAATCAGGCAGGGCTGGGATAGACTGCACTACCCACCAGTAGGAGCTGGAATAGAGGGCAGACTAGACTAGGTCAGGCTGTGCAATAAGATTGCAGACACTGAGGTGAGGTGAGTCATGCCAGCCTGGGCTCAGTGGGGGCCAAGTATGTGAGACCCAGGGGTGGAGTATCTGAGCGGACTTGGGTAGGTTGGCTCAGGTGCTGGGGCCCATCTGTGTGGTGGGGACCAGGTTCCTGAGCCCTGGGAATGGGGGAACTGGTGCAATAGCACAAAATATGGCAAGGATTAAGGTCACTTCTTCATAAAGATATCACTGACATTGTTAGTAAGACCATACAAACAGAAAATTTATATCTCAGGACATATGAATACACTTAAAACTTATTTATCTGGGAACTGGCATTGTGGCTCACACTCTCTGCAAATTTACCTTTCAAATAAATACATAAATATTTAGAATATTTATTTGTGAGGGAGGGTGGGGTATGGGGAGAGAGAGATAGAGAGAATCCTTTGCAAATGTCCCCAGTGGCCAGTGGCCAGTGGCTATGGCTGGGCCCTGGCTTGTGCCAGAATCCTGGAATGCAGTACATAGGCTGTTTAGAAAAACAAGAGAAATATATCTGATCCTGCTAACAATAAACTGTTTGGAAATATAACAGCCTTGAGGAAGACTCCATACCAAGGAATTTAAAGCGAAAAAATGGCCTAGTTCGTGTTAAGTGTATTCTAACACTTTACATCCATACACTTGGGGAAGCAACATCAGCAGTAGGTATTTACATAGAGTTTTCTAATCAAAGAATTCTATGCTAGGAAAAACATCTCAAGAAAAGAATTTATCAAATGTAACAAGCCAAATGTGCACTTTACAATACTATTTGTATAGTAAAACTTAGAAGTGAGTTTGGCTTGGCCTCAATAATAGATGGAATTACATGTTACCATAAATGGGAAAATGATGAGGGCTATGAAGCACCGTGGAAAGATTCATGTCACGGAAGATTAAAAGCAGAATTTACACGTACATAGCTGAACCTTGGAGTTGTGACTGTTGTTGAGGGACTAAACTGTCGGTACACTGTAGGGGAAACCAGAGGAGGGCAAGGGAAGGGGAAAATTTCTGAGCCTAAGGACCTGTATCATGAAAAATATAGAACTTATTATTATTTTTTAAAGCAGAACTTAAGACTAAGTACCTAGAATAAAGGGAGTGATTTATGTGTGTTTTTTTTTTTTTTGAGAAGTTTTAGGTCCAAAATTACAGAAGAGATTTAAAAGAAACAAAAGTACACTAAGTTCCTCACGTGCATCCTTTCAATAATAGATAACAGCAGCCGCATTTTCCTTTTGAAGGTTATTCATTAATAGTGTGTGTGTATATATATGTGCCAAATTCTGGTCTTCTCTCACCATATCTCACTTCATATATTCAAAATCGGAAACATGATGAAGAATGAACTTTTAACAAAGACCTTTGTTTTTAACAAAGACACTTTAGTTTTCTTTTCTTTCTTTCTTTTTTTTTTTTTTAAGATTTATTTATTTATTGGAAAGTCAGATATACAGAGAGGAGGGGAGACAGAGAGGAAGATCTTCGGCTGATGCTATGCTGATCCGAAGCCAGGATGCAAGACTTCTTCTAGGTCTCCCACGCGGGTGCAGGGTCCCAAGGCATTGGGTCATCCTCACCTGCTTTCCCAGGCCACAAGCAGGGAACTGGATGGGAAGTAGAGCTGCTGGGATTAGAACTGGCGCCCATATGGGATCCTGGCGCATTCAAGGCGAGGACTTTAGCTGCTAGGCCACGCCGCCAGGCCGACACTTTAGTTTTCAAAGACAATGGGAGGAAGAGGCAGAGGAGAGAGAGACAGGAGGTAGGGGAGGGAGAGAGACAGACTATCTGCTAGTTCACTTCCCAAATGACCATAACCTAGGTGGAAGCCAGGAGCCAGGAATTCCATCACTACTCCCTGCCACCCCTCAATCCCGCCGGTGGCACTTGGGCCACCTGCTGCTCCTCTCCCAGTTGCGGTAACCAGGAGTTGGATTAGAACTGGAGCAGCCAAATGGTTCTCACAAGGGATTCTAGGAGGTTGCAGCTGTTGTGTCACACCGTTGGTTCCACGAATTAGTTAAGATTATGGAATTACAAGCTTTTGCTTCTCATATCTCGGGTTTCTTTCTTAAGTTATTACACGAAACAAAAACTGAAAAGCCAGCTAAAGCTAAAAGTCAATACGCTCCATTCCTGTGCTCCCAGAAACGTTAAAACTTGGTGGAGAAGGGTGAGACACGAGGAGGTGTGGCTGGCGGCGTCGCAAAAAAAAAAAAAAAAATCTTCACCGAACTCACTGAGAACTCCGCCGCGCTGCTTTACGGCACTCGCTCCGCCCCCGCAGGTGCGGGAATCCGGAGCCGGCCGTCATGGCCGCCGCCTACTGTGTCCGCCAAGCTGCGACCGTCTTGGCCGCGTTGTGGCTCTTGTGTTTCGGCAGTCTGGCGGCTAGTCAGATCGAGGTAGGAGTGAGAAGACAGAGCCTGGGAGGACGGCTGCGCCGTGGGCTGTGCGCTCCCCGGAGCTGCCCCGACAGCCGCCCGGGGAAGCCCTTGGCTCCCGCTGGGCTGCACTTGGGGTGTCTCTGGCCGTGGGCTCGAGCAGCGTCTAGACACGAAGCAGTAAAAGGACCAGAACTTCGGAGAAAGAGGACTGATGCTTTGCTCTGACGTTTGTGTCACTCGCAGGGATGAGGCGCAGCTGCTTTCTTAGGGTTGGAGGTGACGCTGTCATTCGATAGCAGTCAGATAGCTGTAGGATTCTGTCCCCAGGACACCTCCTCCTCCCTCTGCCACTTTTGAAAATGTGACTGCCCGCACTTCTGGTTTTCTTTTAAACCGTGCACTCCTGTATTCTGTTGGCTCCTTAGTTCTGTGTGCAGGTCGGCATTTCCAGCTTGCAAAGGGACCCAGGAGATTAGGTATTGGAAATCAGTGTTTTAAGTTTCAGCTTAGGCTTGTGCCACTTACTTTCAAAAAGACACTGAAAAACGAAGCTCCTTTTCTCTTGCATTTCCAGCCCAGAAATGTTGCCCCTAGAGCAGCATCTGGGAGTTTTAATGAACTCGTCGTCTCTCCTGCATTCTTTCAGTAAATTGGGTGTTCTCAAGCCTTAAGCTTGCACTGGCACAATTTAGGCCCTGGTCCTTTTAAACTTAGGTGACTGCAGTTACTTTTCTGTGTTTCCTCTAGTTTTCTGTACTTCCTAACATTGATGCTAGTTTTCATGAAATGTTTGCCCAATCAGGTTTTTCTAATTGAATCTTTCATTCGTCTTTCTTTGCTACATGCAGAATAAAGTAAACATTTTTATGTAGTTCCTGTATCTTTTAATAGTTGTATTCCCATTTCCTCAACCCCCTGAGCTTATACTAGGGGATCCAACATTTTTAATAAATGCTCCATCAGTTAGATCCTGAGCAGACACTTTGTATATATTCATGAATTACTTGCTTATTTAGGTAGTTAATGCATATGTGGCATAATTTTAGGCAACTATAAATATGAATATAAGTTATATTATTTTTCACCATGGATTATCTTGTATACTTTGTTTTGGGAAACATTGTCTTTTTGGTAGTTAGAGAATTTACTGTGTTTTTTCACCTTAGTATATTTTATACCTTCTGTTTCTCCTGTCAGTTTATTAAAATGCAGTGAGAGGTGATCTCTAGACCCATTCCTATCAATGATTTTGTTGTAATTTGTAGTTTAGCTACATTTGTCTATTATAACCATTTATGCTTTGTAGTATTTTATCCAACACCTAGTGGAAGGGTTGGTTGACTGATCTGCCTCAGTCGTTCATTCTTCCTTCCTTCCTATCTGTTCTGCAGGTGCAGTGCAAATCTGATTCTGTTACCTTTTAGTTTCTGAAAACTATTATGGCTCCTTTTCCCTCTTTCTGAGGTTTTCTCCCTTCCTATCTTCATCTTTCGGGTCTTAACCAGCTTTTCACTTTGGAGAAGCCTTCCCTGATCAATCCAGGTCCCCCGTAAAGTAAGGTTTTTGTTATGCCTCTCTTTGATAGGATTAGTAGTTTTCCCTTATCTGCTCAATGTGTGTGTGTTGAGTTGGATAGTAACTTTTTGAAGGCAAGGTCTGAGAGTGTATTGACTCAACATTATATTTTGAATACTCAGGGCAACAACAACCGAAGCATGTTTAATCAGTGTGATGAGTTAGTCATGTTACATTGTAGTGAAATACATTTTCAGGCATGACATAATGAGAGAAAGCAACACAATCAATAGTGATTTTTTTTTTTTGTCTCTGTACATCAGGTGGTTCCTGGCTCATGCTGGGCGCTCCATTAACTGTACATGCAATGAATAATAGTGACTTTATTGCCTAAATGCTTTCCATTTCAAATTTACACTAAAGTCTTAATGAAGTAAGAATTTTGGAGCTGGAAGGTACGTTAGAGGTCAGTTGTTATCTAAAGCCCATAAATTGTTTATCCCAATCTCACTGGAGGATAGGATCTGGTATTTAGGTTGGATATTCAAAGTCTAAAACCAGCACTTTGTCAACTGTTGTACATTGCTTTCTTCAACGTCTAGCCAACTGTTGAGAAAACTGTGCTGTGTGAAAAAATTATGTATATATGCTATACACATTTTAATGGAATTTTAAATTTCATACTTTCTGAAATTTTGTTGTTAGCCAAAAATCAAAAGTACTAACATTTGCTAGGCAATTATGTGTTCTTGTTACTATTATGACATTCTGTGAGTCAGACAATATTTACCATTTTATAGGTTGACAAATGAAAGGACAGAGAAGTTAAGCAACTGTTCTGGGTTTATATACCTGGTAAGCGAAAATTTGAATCCAACCACTCAGATGATTTAGTGATTTTGCTTCTTAAGTGAAGATCTGAGTGATTTATATCCAATTTTAACACATAATTGAAATCATGTTCCTTAGGTGTCAGCATGGTATCAGATGTTGAAGGTTTTATAGTCTCATTATGGCAAATGTAATTCCTGTTTTAACAGATTAGTGAAAGTGTATATGGCAAAACACTGGAGTATAAATCAAATATCTAGATGAGTTCAAATAAATTACCAAGCACATGAGAATGGATGGTGAGTAAGAGTAGACGAGTTCATCACAAAGTAAAAACAAATGTTGAATGAAATTTTAACAGGAAGAGTAGTAATTAGAACATAAACATGACATAAATTATTCACAATTTCAGGACTGCATGGAAAATTAGAAGCTAGTGAGGAAGACCTGCTGTGTTTGAGTTAAATGTTTTTAAAAAGAAACATCTTGGGTCCAAGTAATGTGACTGGAAAAGACATTAGAGGGTGGCCCAGGAAGCTGGACTCCCGCACCAGTGTGGGAGACCCAGAAGAAATTCTGGACTTCAGTCTAGCATAGCCTTTGCTGTTGTGGTCATTTGAGGACTAAACCAGAGGAGAAAGATTCTCTCTATGCTTTTCAAATAAGTGAAAAATAAATCTTTAAAACTAACAGCTTTGACTAACATTACCCTGCATCAACAACAATGCACACACATGCACAGAAACAAAAAACAAAACCTTAGCAAATATGTGGATGCTTCTTTGCATTTGTCTGAACTTAATGGCTGCTAAAGAGTGAGTCATGACAATTTTAGGGGATCATCATAAGTATTATTAAATGACTCTAGCCTTTAAGGGGTGATTGTTTTAGTTGAGGGTTAAAAGGGATTGTATTATGTTTCACAACTCAAGAGGTAAAAGCTACTTTTATGTTACCAGAAAAAAAAAAATCACGTTGAAGAAGTTCCTGGCAAAAATATTTTAGTTCTTCTGAGTGTTTATGACAGGGAATGGTCACTCTAACAGTGTATAGCGTAAAAGGAGTCTTTGAAATTTGTAGTTGCGGGGTGCAGCCTTGCTGTATTAGCTCCTTGTGCGGAGCTCTTCATGTATGTGGTTTCAGTATTTTAGGAGAGACTCTTCACTTCCAGTCAAGGTGTTTGGGCCACATGTACATTAATTAAAAAATAATGTATTAAAATCCATTAATAAAACAACTGACCAGAGTTTTCATGCTGTTGGGAAAAGGCAGGCAATCATACTCATGAGAAGTTCATGATATATGTTGAAAGAAGGTAATGAACACAATGGAGAAAATAGATTATGGTAGGCAAACGGTGAAGTTAGATTGCAGTCTTGCATAATGTCTTAGATATATCTGTTGAACCAGAAAGTCCTGGGTTTTCTGTTGGACATGCTTTTTGTTTTCTAAAATTTTTTCAGGGTATGAGATAGAGGGATATGTGAACTATGTAAAATGCTTTCATATCTATAATGCTTAGTAATTTTCTTTTTACAGATTTATTTGAAAGGTGAAATTACAGAGAAGGAGACATGAAAGAGAGATCCTCCATCTGTTGGTTCATTCCCCAAATGGCTGCAATAGTCTGTGCTGTGTCAAGCCAAATTTAGCAGCCAGGAGCTTCTGCCAAATCTCCCATATGAGTACAGGTGCCAAATACATGGACCATCCTCCACTGTTTTTCCAGGCAATTGCAAGGAACTGGCTTAGAAGTGGAATAACCAGAACTTGAGACAGTACTGTAGGTATGGCCTAACCCAATGTGCCATAGCACCAATCCTTTGAATTTGAAAGCAGAAGCTCTTATTATAGCCGGGTGTACAGTTCTATAAAATAGCTGTGTGTAGGGCTGGAAACTTTCATTTTACACATTAGGAAACTGAGTCTTAGGAAAAATTAAGTCCACTGATTAAGGCTACTCTGTTTCATCAGTATCTAAAGTACAGTTGAATCCCAGATTTCCAGTTCAGGACATGTTTCCTTTTATTAATTTATAAATTTTTATTATTATGTCCATAAAGCCACATATTAGACTATTCAAGTATTCATAGTCATAATTATGATCCGTAAAGTTAAGATCATTGTTGTAATGAAATCTATGCTTCATTGCTTGTTTTTTTGGAAATTGTGGCTTTTTCATCTAAATCATTTTCTTTTCTATGCCTGATAGGATCAAGCAGAGCAATTCTTCCGAAGTGGCCATACCAACAACTGGGCTGTTTTAGTAAGTATATTCTCCAAGTGGATACTTTGATGCTTGTGTTAAATATGTGTCTGAGAAATATTGTAGAATCAAATTTTTGATAAAATTTATTTTTTTTGTATCTTGCAACAGTTGTTTAAAGTTTTGAGCTTACTGTATTGTAATAATGCTATGATAACATCTATTACTATCTAATGATATCAGTTACTAATGCTCTGTTAATATCCTTTTCCATCAGTATGTTAAGTGGGTGACCTGTAAATAAATGTAAGAATAGATTGGCTAGGTGAGTGGGCTTGTGGCACTGTACATCATGCTGCTACTCGGAACTCCTGCAGCCTACTAATGAGTGCGGAGTGCGGTTCAAGTCCTGGTGTTTCTATTTCTAATCTGCCTCCTTGCTAATGCACATGGAAAGGCAACAGATAACAGCCCAGGTCGTTGGGGCCTCTGCTCCATGTGGGAAACCTGGATGGAATTTCCTTACTCTACGTGTTGCAGGCATTGGAGGAGTGAGTCTATAGATGGAAGATCAGTCTTTTTCTCTGTCACTTTTACATTTCAGTTAAGCAAGTCTATTTTTAAAGAGAGAAAATTAAAGAGTGCTATTTTAAAGGTAGCATATCATTACTATTTTCTTATGGACAGACAATAAGTGTGTATTTATGGATAGCATGTTTTAACATATAATAGTACTCTAAAAAATTTATGCAAAACTGAAACTAGCAGATGATTTGTTTTGATGCAAAAATATTTGAAATCTTTGCACATTTATTCTTTTTAAATTAATTAGTTAGTTAACAAAAGAAAAAGATCTTCCATCTGTTGGTCCACTCTGCAGATGGCCACAACAGCCAGGGATGGGCCACTGAGTTCAGAAGCCAGGGGCTCCATCCGGGTCTCCCAGTGGTTAGCAAGGGCTCATGCATTTGGACGATATTCTGCTACTTTTCTAGATCAGTGAGCAGGTAGCCTGTACAAGACCTGTGGAGCTGAGCCACTGAGGCATGTTGGGCTAGTCTTTGATGCAGACTGGTCTGATGTTACCTGGATCTATAGCAGAACTGGTTTGAACTTCCTTTTATGCCAAGACGTTCTGGTTTGATTCCAAATTCCAAAAATGGTAGAAACCTTCCATTCTGTGCCCATATGAAGAGAGAGAGAGCGCTACTCCCTATTACCAGGCTTACTGTGAAGCTGAAATGGGAATAGGTACCTGATACCAGCCCCAATCCCAAGTGAGGGGGAGTACATCCTGGAGACGGGATCATTTAATTGACAGGTAGGCAGCTAGGATTACATAGGGGGTGGGGATGGTGTGGCTTTCAACTCATGACCTTAAGCCAGCTACCTACCTATCCCATCTCATTCCCCCCTCAAAGATTTCCAACCCTTTTATCTTAGGGTTACGGAAGGATGCATATTTTTACATCTTCTGTACCTACTTCCTAGTGATTATGGATATAGGCCTTGCCTGTCCTAAGTTTGGAAATCTCTCCTTATTTCTTCTAATGGATGCATCTCACGAGCTGGAGAATTTCCAGTCAGTACTAATGGCTGTCTCCTGCATGCTGCTCATTACTCTGAGAAGTTGTTGAAATTCTTTTGTCTTTTGGAAGAAAATGTTTGAAGTCTTTGCTTGACTAATTGGAATACCAGGGTTATCTTTTGTGTACACTTGGGTATGTTCCTCTCCTTTGTGCAAGAATCTGAGAAGAGGGTGACCCACATGGCAGTGGTGTGCACTGTTTCTGGGGTCTTTTGTCCAGAAGGCCCTGAGACCACTGAGGGGTGAGGCGACAGTGTTCTTCTTCAGCAGGAATGCTGGAGACAAAGTGATGGTGAAGAATGTTGTTTATTTGATAGAAGTCACAAGCTTATATAGGAGAAGGGGGCAGGTAGAAGGGCAGTCCCAACAGTACTTTCACTCAACAACAACAGTGTGACTGGCTAACAGATATGTCTGTCTCTGTTGACACTCCAGTGAAGTTAAATTGAGGAAATACAGGAAGCACAGGAAATTATATCTCAGGGCAGGCTCCTTACCTGCTGAAAAGCAGGATGAATGTAACATTTGACTCCTAGAGTTGTTTACCAAGGAAGTCTTAGCAGAGTAGGGAAGTGAGACTGGGGTATAGCCCATTGCTCTTGTTGCCTGCCCAGTGAATAGGCCATGTTGGGGCCTGTTAGCCGAGGGCACAGGCCTCCCACATGGGCTGGGCAGGCAGAGATCCAGGGGAGATCTCCCACATGTTGAGTTCTTAGTACACATACACTGTTTTGGTCTCTGTGACCAGAGATCCATCTGAAACGAACCAGACATGAAAGCATGCTTGTCTACTGATCCCAGAGGCACAGACTTAGTCTCATAAAGGCTGGGGTACTTGGGAGGCTCAGGGGACTGGGCTCTGGGACCTGGAAGGAAATATGGCAGCAGCACCCTAGTTGACAACTGCCTAGGTCACTCAGGCTGTCAGGTTTCAGATGGGCTGCCTGCTGCAGCAGGGTCATGGTGAACTCTGCCTCCAGGCCAGACAGTCTCACACCCTCTCCCAGGGAAAAGGAAGAAAGGAAGGAAGGAGCAAAGGAACAAAGGAAATCATAGATTTTTGGTAATAGGAATTTGCACATACCTTATGAAGATCCCTCATATGCATGAGTTTTACCAAAATGATTTTACTTGAGCTCAAAAAAGTCATTTTATATTTAAGAATTTTTAATGCCTATGAAATATTTGTACATTTTTATGGGTTACAGCTTAACTTTTTAATACAATGTAAACTTGTTAACTAGGTAATTCGTTTTTGCTTTGGAGACCACCAGCTCCTTTCTTCCAGCTCTTTATGAAGGACCCAACACATTACTGTCACATTTCCATTAGAAAGCTGTGAATACTTATTGCTGTATAATTTTCCCAATACAGTCAATTGTCAGATTAAAAAAAATTATTAGTTACACTTTTGAAGTATGACAAATACAGTGAGCATCTTTGTTTTGTTGTGCATTTTAAATATATTTGTTTTGATATCCTTGCCATTTACCCATTTTAAAATAGATTGCTATTTTTTTCCTTATTGAGTTATAAGAGATTAGTTTTTTTCTCTTTTTCTTTAGATTGGTAAGGCATAATGCCTTCCAATGAATTGATTGCCTCATTAAAGTAAGTTGTTACTATCTGGGAGGTATCCCAATGGTAATTTCTTTTCTTTTTTGGTGTGTATTTTATTTTACTATCCTGTCCCATGATGCAGTTTTATAGGTGTAAGGATTCCCCCTTCATCATCTCTTTCTCCTTCCCTCTTTTCCCCTGTTGCCATATTCCTCAATATTATACTCCTTTAGAAACAAAGTCCAACATTCTACTATTTAAATGTCTCATGGCATTGTACATGTTGGCAATGGTAGAAAAGCTAATATCATGTTGTTGAGGTTTACTTAGCAGTTTCATTGGAAGTCTTCTACTTTTTCAGAAGTGGAGAAGCATAAATGTAATTTTTATAAAACCATTTATAGTTTTTCATTTAAGTTTAGATTTTATGCTGTTTTTGACAAATAGAGTTCTATATTTTTATGTAGTTGAGATTTTAGTCTGGTTTTAATTGTATTTCAGGTTGAAATTTTACTTTAATTAGAACAAATTGTATAGTTCCTCCTGTTTGATGGGAGGAACGGTACTTGGTAGCTATCATACCAACTGAAGCCAATCTTTTTATCTCCCTTCAAATAAGCTCCTAAGAATACTGACTTTTAAATATGAAAATAGATTTTCCTACTTGATATGTTTTTTAAAATCTATCGTTTTTTTTTCTTTCAAGCAAAAATCTTAGTTGAATTATTTCTAACTTTTTATCTGGTAACTTCTTTTTAATACTTCCTTGATGTGGATAAACCCTTATTTGTATGCTAAATTTTTAGTCTGTGGTCTATGTTTCTCACAATTAAAGCAACAAACCAGAGTGAGATGAGCATGCTTTGACTCGAAATAACTATTTTCTTTGGTGTTCTGTGAAGAGATTGTTGGTATTGTCTTTATTTGTATAGAATTTAATCTTAGAAATAGACATGTCAAAGAATCACAGAAATTGAGACTGAGTTGATTCAATATTTAAATTTCCTGAGGTGTATTTTCTGTAAAGCTCAGAGGTCTTTTTTGTGTAATGCAAGTTGTGAAGGTTTACTCTCCAGGAAGATTGGTTTTATTGGCAGTTCATTATGCACATTCCTGTCTATAAGCCTGACGCTCTGTTGTTTTTTCCTTAGTCATCCGTATGTCCTATTGAAGAGTAATTCTATAACTTCAAGGTTTATTTTGACTCATAAGAGTTGTATTTTTGTTTTAATACCTCAGGTGTGTACATCTCGATTCTGGTTTAATTATCGTCATGTTGCAAATACTCTTTCTGTTTATAGAAGTGTCAAGAGACTAGGTATTCCTGACAGGTAAGAAACATTAATAAAACTTGACTTTGAATCTCAATGGAGACTACACTGAAATGATTGCTATCATATTGTATTTTCATGTTGTTTTTTGAAAAGAGAAGGAAACTTGATGTGAAAAAATTTTTAATATTGTAATTAGACCAAGACACTCTATAAAATAGATGTATCTTACTACCATGGCCAAATTAAAAAAAAAATCAGATACTAAGGTAAAGAGATTTCATGAAAATATGATTACTTACTATTATTTGTTTATTAAGTACCTAGGAGTTTTGCTTTATTTTAAATGTATTTATTTGGTCATTGGGTCACGCCTCAAATGACTGCATGAGTCAGGTCAGAGTCAGTCTGGACCCAGAAAGTCGGAGCTCCTTACAGGTCTCCCATATGAGTGACGGGAACTCAGACTTGAATCATCATCTGCTATTTCCTAACACCTGGGAAGTTGGATTGGAAGCTGAGCAGCTGGGAATTGAACTGGTGCTTGAATATGGATCCCAAGCAGTGGTTAAACCTTTGTCCTACAGCACCTGTCCCTACCTTAGGATTTTAAATTGCAAGTTTCTGGCTGATTCAAGCAGAGAAGGGATTTGTTGAAATTTTATTGGTTAATTCACTAAATTTCTTTAAGGCTATAGCTCAGCTAGTCAAGAATGAGAATAGTGTGCATTCTGCACTGTGATTCAGCATGTCAAGTTCAAGTCCTGACAGTTTTACATCCAGTTCAGCTTCCTACTTATGCACCTGAAAAAGCACTGGTGCATTGCCTGAGTACTTGGGCTTTTGTACTCATGGGAGGTTCAGAATACAAATAAATAAGTAAATCTTTAATTAAAATGTTTTACCAAAATTAAAGAGAAGGAACAAGGAAGACTAAATAGAAGAAAAGACAGCTAAAAATCCTAAGTTGAATCCAGTGACAGTAATGAAGATTGCTAAAGGTTAGACTCAACCATTGCATTGGTACTGTTGCCTTTAGAAAATTAATGTTGCTGCTTTCTCCTGCTGCCAGAATCCAGCCTTGGCTGTCCCAGCTTCTTACTGTCTCTCTTATAGAGTGTAGACTAAACATCATGTCTATGCTACAGGGTTGCTGAAAGAGCAATGTATGGCAGTGATAGTTTTGTTATGGGAAAGTTGTTTCTGCTTTCTTTTTTTTTTTTTTAACAGCAGAATTGATGTTTCTTTTTTTATTGTCATAATTATTTTCCATGATATAGGGACTGTCCTCTTCATGTCCCCTCCTTTTCTCCCCATTCTCATCCCCCAAATATTTTCTCCAATATTATTACAATAATAGAGTCCTTTAGCAACAGTCACAAATCCAACATTCTTCTATTTAAGCGTTATCATGGCATTGTAAGTATTGGCAGTTGTGAAAATTAAGCATCATATTGTCAGTTTCATTGGGAGATTTGGAGTTCTCCATTTTTTTCAGGAGTAGAGATTTATACTGCAATGTATCTTTACTTCCTGGTATACTGGTCTCCATTATATAGTACCTCTAAATAGATGTGTGTGTGTGTGTGTGTGTGTGTGTGTGTGTGTGTGTGTGTGTGTGTGTGTGTGTATTTACCTATATATTTGTTTTGTGTTTTGCATCAATGTTTGCCTGTATATTTATTGTTTTGTGTTTTGCATGAATGTTGTTTTGTATTAATGTGAGAGAACATATGACATTTGTCCTTTTGGAATTGGTTTATGTCATCAAGCATAATGGTCTTTAGCTAGGACCATTTTGTTGCAAATAGTAGAATTCCATTCTTCATTGCTCTTTCAACAGGCATCTCAGTTATTGTGGATTGTGTTGCTATAAATATAGGGTTTAAGGTTGGTTTCTCATATGCAGATTTCATTTCTTTGGATATGTTCTTAGGAGTGGTACAGCTGGGTCATAAAGTACATCAATTTTCAGCTTTCTGAGTACTCTCCAAACTGGATTCCATAATGGCTGTGATAGCCTACATTCTTACCAACACTGGATTCCGCTTGTCTACCAGTTCCCTTAATTGTCACCAGCAGGTGTTAGTAGTAGAGTTCTGCTTGCTGGACAGTCTCACTGGAATGAAGTGGAACCTCAATGTGGTTTTTATTTGCATTTCTGTAATAGATAGAGAGCTTGGACATCTTTTCAAATGTCTGTTAGCCATTTGAGTTTTCTGTTTTGGAAAATGCCTGTTAGTTTCCTTCCCCCATTTCTTCACAGGGTTGTTTCTTTTTTTGTTGTTGTTGTTGAGTCTCTGAAGCTCTTGTAAACCCTGGATATTAGTCCCCTATTTGTTGAGTAGTGTTCAAAGATTTTCTCTATTTCTGTTGGTTTCTGTTGTTGCTTCTTCACTTTATTGATCATATTGTTTTATGCACAGAAACGTCTTAGTTTGATATAGACCCCTTGGCTTTTATTTTGGTACTGACTGCTTGTGTTCTGGTGAGTTTTCTAAGATTTTTTTTTTTTTTTTTTTTTTTTTTACCAATTCCTATGTCTTGTAGAGTTTTTCCTATATTTTCCTCTAAGAGTTTGATGGTTTCTGGGTGCAGATATAGGTTCTTGATTCATATAGAGCTAGTTTTATCTGTTAATGCACTCTCTATGTGGCTGCGATGGCAGCAGCTGAGCCGATCCAAAGCCAGGAGCCCAGAGCTACTTTTGCATCTCCCACATAGGTACAGGCTCCCAAGGCTTTATGATATCCTTACTGCTTTCCCAGGCCACAACTAGGGAGCTGGATGGGAAGCAGGGTCGTTGGGATTAGAACCAGTTCCCATATGGGATCCTGGAGCATGGAAAGGGAGAACTTTAGCCACTAGGCTACTGCACTGGGTCCTGAGGTGAGTTCTTTTTGAAATGTTTGGTAGAAGGCAGCACGGAAGCCATCTGGTCTGGGACTTTTCTTTTTTGGGAAGGATTTAAATACTGATTAAAGCTCCATTATGTTACAGGTTTATTTAGATTTTAATTACCCATTGATTCAGCTTTGGCAAATTGTATGTGTCCAGAAATCTATCATTTCTTCTAGATTTTTTGATTTGTTGGTGTGTAGTTGCTTCTAATAGTTGCTAATCTATGTATGTTCAAGTTAGCTGTTATTACATTTCCTTTTTTTCTCTCTGATTCTATGGATTCCTATCTTCTCCCTGGTAATTTATTCACTTATTTATTTATTTATTTATGATTAGTTGTGTTAGTAAGGAATCTATTTTGTTGATTTTCTCAAAAAAAAAAAAAACCACCAGCTTTCTGATTTATTGATCTTATGTATTGTTCTTTTGGTCTTTATTTGGTTTATATATTCCTTTATTTTGATTCTTCTTTTGCTGCTGTTCTGGCTCCTCCATATGTCTGGTTAGCCTGTTTGCTTGATGCCTTATGAATTTATTGACATAGGCACTAACTGCAGTGAACTTTCCTATAGCACTGAGTGGATAGTGTCCCACGAGTTGATATGTTGTGCTGAGGCCCTCATTCATTTCAAGCAATTTTTAAATTTTCTTTCTGATTTCCTCTCTAACCCATTCTTCATGTAGCTGCATGTTGTTCAGTTTCCAAGAATGTGCATATCTACTCTGGTGTTTTGACTTATTGGTCTCCATCTCAAGTTTTATTTCATGATGGTCTGATAAAATGCATGGTATGATTTGAGTCTTTTGAAATTTGATGATATTTATTTTGCGACCTATAATGTTTTGAATCCCGGAGAAGGTTTTATATACTGATGAAAATGAAGTATATTATGTGTTTGTAGGATGAAAGGTCCTATAGACATTAATTCCATTTCCATTACTTCCATCAAATACATTTGTTCCATTTTCTGTGTAAGCTTTTTTGTTTTGTTGCTGAATTTGTGTGTTGTCACTCTGTCTGGTGAAGTTAATAGGGTATTAAATTACCCACTGTTATTGTACTGGGGTCTATTTCTGCTTTTAAATCCAGTAGTATTAGTTTCATGTAGCTTGGTGCTCTGGCATTTGCTGCGTATACATTTATTATTATAATTTCCTTTCGTTGAATGGATCCCTCACTCATTAAGTAGCGTCCATGATGAATTTGTGTGCTGCACGATTTCTTATTTTGTGGACATCAGTTCACCTATAAGTCTGTACCTCTGGACCCGGCACAATAGCCTAGTGGCTAAAGTCCTTGCCTTGCACATGCCAGGATCCCATATGGGCATGCGGTCATGTCCTGGCAGCCCTGCTTCCCATGCAGATCCCTGCCTGTGTCCTGGGAAAGCAGTTGAAGACAGCCCAAGGTCTTGGGACCCTGTACCTGTGTGGAAAATCTGGAAGAACTTGCTGGCTTTGGATCTAATCAGCTGGTGTTGCCACTTGGGGAGTAAACCAGCAGATGAAGATCTTTGTATTTCCTTCTGTCCGTATATCTGCTTTTCCAATTAAACATGGAAAAATAAATATCTGTACTTCCACACCTCTCAGAACAGGTACAACAAAAATTTGGGTGAATTCAGCTCTTTAGATTTGATTGTATCAACTACTGTGAGGTAATGGGAAAGTTATCTTTGTAGTCAGGGTTAAGTTTGAAATGTGAATGTAGTAGAAATTTTGGTTAAGGATTCTTCCATCCTATGCTGTTTCCTCAGCTATTCCATGGTGATAGTGGTATATTCTTTTCAAGTTTAAAGCACTTGCAGTCCTGCAGGAGCAGGAAGGAAGCAATGAATCACTCAGGAAGCAGCTGCATTTTCTTCTGTGTAAATAGACCACTCTAACCTAAGAGACTGATAAAATGGTAATGTAATTTCTGTAATTCATCTGGAAATCAAGACAATTAGACTGTTACTGTTTTTAAATTACATTAAATCAGAGAAGAAGGTTAATTTGTTCTATTAGGTATATAAATGTAATTCTTGTCATTTGTCTGTTGATTTTCTTCAAATTGGTCTATGTGTTTAGACTTGGTTTTGAACTGCTGTTGTTTCTGGCCCTACTTCTCAAGGGAATCAGTATACACTTTTGGGTAGTAGTTTTTATGTCAGTAACTG